CTGACCCTTTCCCGACCCTCAGACCTGAGCAAAACCCTTTTGCCTCCTGCACAGCACACGCTGTCCTTTTCTCAGCCCTTGTCACAGTTTATACAGTTGTGTTTGTGGCTGACTACTGCCTGTCTCCCTCCGCAGACAGTAAACATCTTACGGACTAGGCCTGTGTCTGTTTCCTCTCTCCTTTCTCTGGGCCTAGGCACAAAGAAGACAGTTCATAAACATCTGCTGAATGAATGGAATGAATTTGTGTGGTCAGGATCTAGTTGCTGTGTCTCCGTGTCGGAGACTGCAGCCCCGGGATCCCATCTCTTCTGCCATAGACCGAGAACCCTAGTGCCCGCTGGGCACTCCCATAAAGGCTCCGTGCATCCGCCTTGGGCACCAGTACAGCTGTGCGAGTGGACACTGGCAGGAAGAATGGTCACCAGGAGGGGTGAAGCCCTCCCTTCCCTCCTCCCTCACAGTTGCAGTCAAGGCGTGACGTGGCGGGTGTCTGGGGCCCCCACGCCACAGAACCCAGCCCAGCCCTGGGGAGCCACCTCTGTGCTTGACCTTGGACTTGCTCCTGACTCCACATTCCTACTCCGAACAGTCGCCTCTACCTCGGTGGTCCTGTCTGGCTTTTGATGTGCATGTCCGAAACAGTGGGTTTTCTCCTCCCTAATTACACCAGGCAAGAACAAAGCAGGAAGTGAGAATGTGAAGTGGCCACCTGGTGGGGTGTTTTCCAGGTAGTGGGAAGAGGAGGCAGCTGAGGGGCTGGCTCTGGAGAGCCAGACTCCGGACCTCAACTTCCTCTCCTTTCAACCGACCGGAGGCGGCAGGGCCACTAACCACGCCTCGCCTTTGTTCTCCAAAGTCCTCTTCATTTTACAGCATTTCAGAGTTCTGTGCGAGGGTAGTCATGGTGGAGCACAAGGCTCCAGATTTGAGACTAACTGGCTGTGAGATAAACTCAAAGCTAGTGCCACGGAAGAGATGCCTGCAGCACACCCAGAAGATACAGAAGCTGGTGACAAAGCCAGCAAGTCCCCTGACCCTCAGTGGCTCCCGCGTGCTTCTGCCAACGTCCTAAACCAGAGGGCCTGAAGGCGAGTCAGGGAAGAGCCTCCTCACAAGCAGCTGCACAGAGGTGACCAGTTTCTAAAGCAGGCAGGAGGAAGAGAAGAAGAAGGGGAAGAGATGAAGAGGGAGAGGGAAGGAGAGGAAGAGCTGCACCTCCACGTTTTACCTGCTCCAAAACGTGAACGAAGGCATCAGCGGGGTATATGTGGGAGACGGCGCTGGAATAAGAAAGTGTGAAAAACAAGCCAGGCCCAGGACACGCAAGTCCGCTAGCTATCAAGACAACCAGCTAGCACCCAAACCTGAGCTGAGCAAGTATTTAAGAAACAGGAATATACCACGGATAAAACTCATCAAGTAAAGGCTTTCTTAGGCCAAGTGATTTTTATCTGCAGATTTCAGAGGAACTCACACACCCAAGTCTTGCACTGTCCCAGGTACAAGATTAAGGGACCCAACATTCGTGGTAGTAAGTCCACTCGCTGTTTCTGTTGCAAGCTGAGCAGCTGGTTTTCTCCTTCGCTACAAACTGAACTCTAAGTTCACCTTGCAAACGCCAAGCAAAGTGACAAACAGCCGGTCTCATCACTGACATCAGTGTCGACTGGCACCGCATATCTAGACGCAGCTGATTACAGTCAGCCTGTGTGGGCCCCAGCTTGCCATCTCTTCCCCTTTCCTATCAGCCACTCTGCTCACGGCTCAACCCACCCAAGTGTGCGAGTCAGAGGCACTCAGTTTTTCCCCGACTTCAGACAGTTGCCAGGCAAGTTGATGCCTTCTTGTCACAGATCAAAAACACCTCCCCGAAGTGCCAAGCATTATTCTATCACCTAGGGATAGAGTTTCTCATCACCAGGTAGTAAACAATTTTAGTTCTCTTCTTTTTGAGTGTTATAGCTCCAGTCCACCTCCACTCCTGAGACACTTAGGGACTGGTTTACGCCTGCTGAGGCCATCCTGACGACAGGAGCTCATCTCCACCACGGTGGGACAGCAGCGGGGTAGCATGTTTCTTTAACAACCCTTAACTTTTTTTTTTTTTTTTTTTTTTTTCCCGGTACCAGGAATCGAACTCACAACCTTGCACTTGCCAGGCAGGCACTGTGCCACTGAGCTAAATCTCTACCCCTTAACAACCCTTAACTTTTAATAACAGGCTGCTTCTCTCTGCATTGAGGGATAGCTCTCTTGAGAAAGTGTCTTCCAACTACATGATTACTCGCCCTGCTAGAAGATGAACCCTAATATCCATTAAAATCTAACTGCAGAGCAAGTGAAGAGCTAATATAGTTTTTTAAATTATGGTGTCAACTCATCCAATCGTGTCACACAGACTGAGCATTACAGTCACGTGATAAGTCAGCAACAAGAGGTTTACTATGAATTCTTAATTTAGAGCTCTAGCGGGCACAGCACTTTATGTGGTACAATTTGGGGGATTTTTATTTCCTGGAAATCCCAGCAACAATACTAACAGACAACGGTGCTTCGTTTCCTAGAAATGAACATAAAGGTTTGAGCATTCTCTTAATTTAAATATGACAGCACCTGTCTATTCTGGCTCCAATTAAATGGGGAGGTATGTCTAGAACAGAAGGTTAATGGAAAATAAAATGGAGTATGTCCAGAACAGAAGGTTAATGGAAAAATGTAAACATGTAAAACCTTTTCTTTGTTGATTTATTGAAAGAAATATTTAAATGTACTTCCATTAAATTAATTACAAATCAAATACGCATACCACCTCAGTTTTGAAAACACATCGTCTTGCTAAGTAACCAAACCGTCATCAGACCACTCACACGAACAGGAGAGAAGAATGAGCTGTGGGTGGGATATACTAGTCAGTGATGCATGTGACAGTTAAGTACAGACTCTCATGGCCACATACAGGGAAGCACACATGCATAGGTAGCTTTATCTCAGCAACAAAAACTTCATTATGACCTCTCCTCTTCGTCGCACATTCTGCAATGATTCTGTATCAGGGAGTGGTGCCATGGCCAGTGTCCCAGGGGTCAGCACTCCAGTGCCCTGTGCTAGTAACACTTGAGAAGGCACTCACCCCTCCTACCACAGGGCACTAGAAAAGGCCTTCTAGAGCCAGGTAAAAACGTCATTTTCAACTTAGTAACTGCACCAGGCAAGAGTGTTTACCTAAAGAAAATACATGGGTCCAACAAGAGAGACTCACAAAAATGTGTAAGCTTAAAAGTGGGCAAATGCATAGCAGAAAAACATCAACTATGGACCCTACGGTTCTAAGCATTCTGCTCCGCATATGTTTAATTGCAGTGATTTTTCTCCTCTCAGCCCTCAAGCGACTTTTAAAGGAGGAAAATATTTCTAATCGGTACCCATGCGAAGCACTGCCAGTCACTCAAGCCAGCACCCTCTACTCGGGGGGCAAAGACCCAGCAGGCACCTGTTCTACATCAAGCTCCAGCTCTCAGCACATTTTTGCCAGGCAGTGTCAAGGAGCAAGTGTGTGCACCCCGGTGCCTCTCACTCCTCCAACATCTGCCTAGTCCCCACGAACACAGAGGTGCACACCGGGAAAGCTCACCCGCCTGCCTAGCGACCACCTGGGATTTCTGTGGGAGCAGGCCCAAGACTCCGGATGAGGGGCCAGAAACATCTGCTCCCTGCATAAACTCAGTCATGCTTGAAGGGCTTGGCAATCAAGGAAACCACAATTCTGAGGACCACACCTTTTAACCGGCAGAAAAGCCAAAGCTGGTGGGTGACCCTGTCCAACTCTGCATCGCTTGGTTTCTCAGAATGGGGGTGAACATAACAGCAACTTCACAGTATCAGGAAATGACAACACCAATAGCAGCAGCGAACATCTGAGTACTTGGTGAGCCAAGAACCATCAGAACAACTTTGCACAGAGTAAGTGAGCGAGGACAGAAAAAAAATACTAGCCTATATGTTATTCTGAAATTCTGGCCTTAGAAGAGGACTGCCAAAGAGAACTCGGAGCTTATTCCACAGGACAATACAGCTGCCTCTGCCTTCCAGACGGGTGATGTTGTCCTCTTCCGGCTTTGGGGCCGTTCACTAAGTGGCCCTTGAAGCCACCTTCCCTGTCCAAAATTCAGATCCTAACACTGTTTGCCCAGCAGTATCATAAGACAGAAGTTTAGTCGTGACTCTCAGTATCAAAACACTTCTAAAAACAAATCACAAAAACCACTTTCTGTCCCTAGCTTTTCTGTGGGTTTTCTTCTGTTGCTACCCTTTTGTTTTTTATTGTCAAGTACTACTTGGTATCACTTGCTACTATCTTAAAAGCTAATCTATGCCTCTCTTACCCAAATAAGGGTAGACGTTTCAAAAGCTGTGTCTGTCCTAGCTTGAGCAACTGATTTTAAAACTGCTGGGCTTTGTTTTGTGATTTCCCCCGCTAAACATAACCAGCAAAGAAGGGAAACTATGCACCTATATCCTCAGAGGATATGTTCTGGAGGAAGAAGTTTTCCATAATCTGATCCTTGAATCACATTCTTCTTCTGTTGCACACCAAGCACAGACCCCACAGGCTGAGGCAGAGGAAAGAATTCTCTCCCGGGCTTACAGCGCTGGCACACCTTGAACTTGGTGCACATAGAGGAAAACTCTTGGCAGTTTTATATTAAGCCCACAGTAGGCACTTTTCTGCCTTCCAAACCAGCTTTTTCCAGCTGTGCCCCTACCATGTGCAAACTGCCTTTCTCTGCCAAATGAAGGCAGGGAGAAGGGGAGAAAATACCATCATAAAGAGTTCAAATGAAAACACCCACAGGAAATATTTGGCTAACTCCATAATAACGCAAGGTGCAGAAAGGTTAAAAAATGAGTTCACTCCCCAAACTTTTCAGAGTGGGAGGTAACACGGGACTTCCACACTGAGAAGCTTGCAGAGCTGCGAACGTGGTTGTGACTCCTACCCAGACTCTCCAGGGCAGTGAGGTCCAGACCTCCCGCGCTGACTCCCAACCCCAGAGCCTGCTGAGCGAACGAAGAGCTCCTGCTGGGCCGAGAACGGAGACTCACACGCACCCCCGGGCCCCGCCAACTTCCACTCCCGCTCGCGAAGTCACGATGGGCTCGCACCCCGGGCACGGCCGCCGGGACGTGGCCCACCAAGGCGAGAAGCAGCGAGCCTCGTGCCCCCGGGGCTGGCACGGAGGCCAGGGCACAGGGGTGCAGGGGACCACGCTCCACCGGCGCGGCCGTCGGCGGGAGGACCGGGTCACCGAGCGGGCGCGGAC